TAGAACTACAAGCTGCTGTATTAGGGACAAGATTATCTAATACAGTACAGAAAGCATTAAGATTACAAACAGATCAGGTTATATACTGGTCCGATTCAAAAACAGTCATAAGTTGGATCAAATCTGAATTAAGAAAGTTCAAACAATTCGTTCAATATCGTGTTAGTGAAATCCTCGAAAGCACCGTTGAATCACAATGGAAATATATTAGTTCAGCAGCAAAACCGGCTGATGAAGGAACTAAAGTAAAACAATCGAAATCGTCTTGGATTGAAGGACCTGCGTTTTTGAAGCTGGACGAGAAACATTGGCCATCCGTGAAAGGGGACAATCATAGTTCAGATTTAAGTCATGAAGAATTACGTCCCGTACATTCAATAAAGAGCATAAGCAAACCAAATTTAGATTGGCTCAACGTTAAATGGTGTTCGGATTGGAACCGTTTAAAAAGGTCTGTATGCATAACAATAAAATATATAGAGTGGCTTAGGTCTAAAACAAACAAAGAATTGAGATTCGATAAGACAATCAGTGCTGTTGATATGGAAAAGGCAGAAATTTTGCTGATTCTGAAAACTCAATGGGATGCATTTCCAGATGAGTTAACGGAACTCAATGTTAAACAGACGGTGGACAAATCTAGCAAAATACGAACGCTAACACCATTCCTAGATCAAAATGGTACAATAAAATCAGAAACACGATATAAGGATGCAGAGTGCGTTCCTTATGCAGCTCGATATCCTTACATACTTCCAGCAAAGCATCATGTAGTTGATTTAATATTGAAAAATCAACATGAACAGTTTAAACATAAAAAAATGAAGACTACGATAGCAGCGGTGCAACAAAAATATCATGTTATCCAAATAGATGCTGGAATGAAGAGGACAATAAAAAAATGTCAATATTGTAAAAATGAAAATGCGAAGATAAATACCCCTAAAATGGCACCTCTACCTGAGTGTCGATTGCAACCTTTCGTGAAACCATTCACCCATACCGGAGTAGATTACTTTGGGCCGTACAATGTGTCCATCGGACGAAGAACAGAAAAACGATGGGGAGCATTGTTTACATGTATGACAACAAGGGCAGTATATCTCGAAATAGCCCATGATCTGTCTGCAGATGCATTTTTATTATGCTTGAACTCAGTGCAGAACAGACGAGGCAGAATAAAATTCCTTTATAGTGACAACGGTACTAATTTTGTAGGAGCTGACAACGAACTAAAAAAGATTCAGCATAGACTTGCGTCAAGAGGAATTGAATGGCATTTCAATCCTCCATCATCTCCACACTTTGGTGGAGCATGGGAAAGATTGGTTCAAGAAGTTAAAAGTCTTTTACCAAATCAAACTATGCAAGAACACACATTCCGTGCGTTATTAACAGAAATCGAAAATATAATAAATTGGAGACCTTTGACGAATATATCTCTAGACGCCACCGATGACGAACCGCTCACTCCCGACCACTTCCTAATTGGTTGTGCCGGCGGAGCCGAACCATCATTGAATGATGTGTCCAAGGCAGAAGCCACTAGACAACAATGGAAGAAAGTGCAGTCTATGGCTAAAACCTACTGGGATAGGTGGTTACACGAATACCTTCCTTCATTAGCCAAAAGATCAAAATGGTCGGAGGCTGTGAAAAATGTCAAGTAAGGAGACATCGTTATGATTGCTGAAGATGATCAAAAGGCAAAGTGGAAAAAGGGAGTTGTTTTGAAAACACATGTAGGCAAGGATGGTCAGGTAAGATCGGCTGTTGTGAAAACAGCTTCTGGAGAATACACTCGACCAGTAGTTAAATTGGCTATTATGGATGTTGAGCCGCCAGGAGAAGCTTCTTCAAATGAAGACAATAAAAAAGAACAAGTAGCATCAAAACGGGTGTTGAAACACCAAGATGTTGAAACTATCATTAAAAAAGATTGCTTTGTGGGAATGATACACAAAGTAAATGACGAAACACTCGCGGAATAACGATCATATATAAGTAAACCTAGAAGGATTTACGGGCTCCGGAATGTTACCGCGAGGCAATTAATTTCAAACCAAAACCATAAGATACTCACAGTTGCATCCCGTTTGCATAGCCCTAGCTGACGTTGATACCAAGGCCAAGAATATGAAATGAAAAGTAGGGCAAAAGGAGCGAGAGCTCGTTTTACATAATCTAACTACAGTATTTACTTAGGAACGTTTCTACGTTCAAGTAGGATAAACACGCTTACGCATGGCATGCTTGCGCATCTAGGTTACGTTTAGCTTTCCCTCTCTGTTTATCCTTAACGAAGGATATAATTATAATGTTTAAACGTTACAAATGTCTCATTCTTATTTGTAGAGCCATATCAGATCTGAGTTACAAAAATAAATAAACTTACAAGATATCTGAGAAATCCCAGATCTGAGAGGGCATAGTATATAAGGTCTAAACAACACAAATTTACCCTTTCAAGGGCGATCGGAATCCTAGCTAATTAGAATAGGCAAATTAGGTTAAAGTTCGGTATTGAAAGGGATATGTTAAACCATGGACAAATCATGTAAAGGTTTTACATAATTATAAGTTGCTAATGCAACACGTAGCTGTAAGACCACTTTGTACAATTTTGTTGAGTAAAATTAAGTTTCGTAGGTTACTCCAGATTCTTCTCTTTTTGAATCCGAAAGAACTTTCGGCCTAGAAGTGAAAACTTCTCTCCTTAACCGGAGAAAAAAGTAGCTCCTAGAAGAACTCTTGACCTGGAAGTGAAAACTTCTCTCCTTAACCGGAGAAAAAAGTAGCTCCTAGAATCGAGAAACAGTGTCTGACCTAGTAAGCGAAAGACTCTCCCTAACCGGAGAAGAAAGTAGCTTTTGGCGGCGACACTAGGCTTAAAGTGGATTTCGTTGAGCGATTGTTGAATCTACGCGAAACTACACCTAGGTTTGAAATCCAAAACCACAAAAGTGATGATGTACTAAAAAATATTCCATACGATTTGACAGCTAGCAAAACGTCATTATCATTTTCACATCATTTCCATCTGCTGGCCGACCGTACACATTAACCAGCGTAAACACATAAATGAGTAAAAAAATACACATTTTTTATATTTATATGCAGCTGTCAAAAAATGTGTAAATTTGGAAATCTTAAAATGTGTAAAAAATACACATTTTTAGAATGTAGTATTCATTAATGGGTAAACAAAAACTTCAAACTTTGCTGCATTCTGTTTCGTTGAGCCAGTGATTATAATAACAGAGAAATTAAGGAACTAAGGTCCAAACTGGACAGTGCAGATGGACAAGCTAGGGTAAGTGATTTATGTTATTTTCATAGCTAAGTTTAAGAAGAACTATTCTTTTTTCTCATAATGAAGGTTTCAATTGTCCGGTGTCTGGCTGCGATGACTTCCGCGGCAATCTCGTTGAGGTTAAAACTCATGTGAAGAGATAAATTATGTGATAAAAATAAAAGAGAGAATATAATATTATTGTATCCGAGAAATCTTTATCTTATCAGCGACACAAATAAGAAAACTCCGAAATAAATAGAAAAAGCATGCGTCCCCATTGTATTCAAATTCTAGAAATGATTACTTTTTACACATTTTGCTGTAAAAACCGTTCTTGAAAAATGTGTAAAAAATACTCTTCTATTGACGTTTGTTGGGTTTAAACATAAATGTGTAAACGTGAATAAATGAATCATATTTTGTCAACTTGTCACGTTGCCACTCCCAACACATTTTACCCATTTTTGGGTAGTTCTGTTTTAACCGATCTGGGTGGATTGTACCCAAATTTAGGTGGTTTTGAAAATAGCGTGTACATGTCTTTGTTTTTATTATTTTCTAATGACACAAAAATATGAATTAACTTATAGTCGCTATATTCATAGTCTGGCGCAAAGAATCTCGGGAACCAATTGAGCTGTCAAATAGCGGAACCAATCGAGCAAATCACGACCAACAAATCAGCTATTGCGAACAAAACTTCGGAAACCCTTTTCTCGTAACTCAAGGCTCGCCTACGCAAACTAACACCATCTTTGGGTTGACGAAAGCTTCCCCTATCCGATGATTTGTTTATAAAAGTTCATGGTACCTTTTCAATTTGGTTGTTTAGGGGTATTGAGGTAAATACATATTCTTCATCTGCATTAAAAATGGAACCGCAATCCAAAATTTCATCAATTTTGGTACACTGTAACCACCGGTGCTGTAACTATTTTATAGTTCAACGAATTAGTGTCATCGATCAAAACTTTATATCTTGATTTGAAAATCGAGATGAATATCTACGGGATTGATAAAAATATCGTTGTGCTCAGAAAACGAAGCTCTATCAGATGACGTATAAAAATCGGTATACCGGTATATATTTCCCAAAGTTAAACAACCCAATAGGTCGTATGAATAAAAGCGTTTACTCTACTTTCCCCGTAAAGCAAACCCCACACGGTAAGAAATATTGTCAATACTTACAAGTATTGACAATAATATTGATGATGTGAATACAGAAATATTGTCAATACCGATGTATTGACGTCAATATAAAATGTATTGACAATACGATTATTGTCAATAAAAGCAATCGTGTACGGTCGACAAGAAGAGCACGGGAAAGTAAAGTAAACTCTTTTTATTCATACGGCCTAATTTCTGGTCTAAAATATATTGAATTCAAGCTGAACATTGCATTAGGTCCTAAGTAACATTGATTGATTCTCTTCGTCGACTTTTTCTTTCGTTAATAACTTGAGCACATAACCGTTTCTTGTTGTGTTTGTCGTATTAGATGCTAGATAAAAGCTTCTTTTATCGATCTGTGTGCTGAAAATACCTGAGAATGTCTTTACATGGCGGTGAGGTTACAAAGAGAAAGTCGACGAAGAGAATCTGTCTATGTTACTAAGGACCTAATGCAATGTTCAGCTTGAATTGGTTCCGCTTTATGATAGATCGAAGTTCTATCCGCCAGACTATGAATATAGCGACTATTGTTAAGAGGCCACGAAAGTGATTTCAAAGTGTTATTTGCGATATTTGTTATTCCAATGTCGAGTTAAGAATGATTTGCAATTGCTGAAAATAAGCCAGAACGATCTACACCATTAGTGCTCAATAAAGATTTTAGATATTCTGTGCATTGTGATACGAAGCAGATCTTCTAACTTCACAACAAAACAAAAGGAAAAAAATGGAGGACAACCAAAACATGGATGATATCGAGCAGAACTTCTTGACTCAATTTAGCTGTAAGTACAACTCAGTTTTTTAGGAGCATTAAATAAACTATTTTATTCCAGCTATGGTTACTACGGATAAAGATGACCTAATCAAACAATTCCAAACAATAGGAGAAAATCTCAACTATTCCACAGCCACTTTTTTCCTGGATATGAGTAATTGGTACGTCTAAATTTTCATTATTATTTTAAGCAGTTTTTGAGTTAGCAGTTTAATTTATTTTGACATTTTCTTTTGTGGCCAAAAAAGTGAACACGACCCATGCATTGTTTATCTTTTTAGGAATCTACAAACTGCTGTTGGATGCTACTTTGACTTCATGGCATTTTCTCGACTTCCGTCGATGAAATTTCTGAACGATCTCACCATCGGAAAGGATGAAAAAGTAACCCCTAATACACCGTAAGTTGTTTTATTGATTGTATATTAAAATTGTTAATTAAAAGATTATTTTTACTTCGCCAAAGTACCGTTCTGATTCATATTTCGGACACTTAAGACTGCAGCTGCAATAAACAGACAAAGTATTGATGGTTTTGACATTATATTAAGTTTCATCTTTTCAATACATTGCTTAGGAATCTTTAAGTTGAGCTAATTTGAATGATTTTTTTAACAAAATAATCAAAACTACGAGAAATAGCGATATTTCATCAACGAGAAAATGATTCATACTTCGAACACTTGTTTTGAGATGATTCAAATTTCGGACACCCAATTTTAATAGGGTAAATGATGGCTTCGGCAGCCATCGACTGTTTTCGGCAACCACAATTTAAACGTTAATTTCGATGTATTTTCTCACTAAAACACTTCGCTGAATGTATTTAAACGATTCCTTAGTTTTTCAGCTTCAATCCTAATACATTTTTACGACTGAGCAAACCTGTTATGCCATGTGTTTCTGCAAAAGAAACATAAGCACATCAAAATACGGCTGATTTCGAGTTGCCGATAATAGAACAGCTGCTTTACACGTAGTTTAAACGGAAAGGTTGCCGAAGTAAAAGAGGCTGCCGACAATAGTCACACTCACCTGAGAAGTTTGTAGTGCCTTAAAAACGTTTTCAAACCGTTTTGGACAGTTTTGTTGATTGGAATGGATAGAAAAGCTAGCAGCAGATGAATGTAAACAAACAGACACATCATATGTGTGCGTGACACTGAGAAAATGCTAATAGAAGTGCGGAAGCTGCTTAGATTGACGAGAATACGTAAATTCCCCTATACGGTTTGCTACGGTTTCAATCATGGTTTTGTTTTATTCTTGTATTATGCGTTCTAGTCATATGCTAGAGTGAATATAAGGATAAAAACAGTAACAATAATGATCCGAATAATAATATTAATAATAATAATACACGGCGAAGAAGAACGACCCAAATTTGAGTTTAGTTCACTCATAATCGCCAAAAGTGCAGGAACTCAGCGATGAGTAAATTTGCCTCATGTTTTCCCAGGTTTTTCCAGGGAAAAATTCCCGAATTTGAGAAAAGTAAAGATTGGATTCACTCAGTCTATTGGTACTACTCCGAGACTGAATAAAATTTTCGTCAATTTCCTCATTTTCCGGCAGATTTTTTAGGTTTTCCACAGGAAACCATGAGACAAATTTTACTCATCGTTGAGTTCCTGCACTTTTGGCGATTATGATTGAACTTAACTCAAATTTGGGTCGTTCTCATTCGCCGTGTAATAATGGCATATGGTATACAACTTTGAAATGCAATTTTATCCAGACGATGATTCGGGGTAATTAGCGGGGTTTGGTGAATTTTCTTTGTTCTGGGATTTCTTCGTTTGTTTCTTCTTTTCCTTTTGTTCCGATTTCGATTTCTTCATCAGCATACGTGCAGCTTTTCTAGCTTTTTTCTCTTCCAGTTTTTCTTTTTGCTTCGTCCGCTCTTGCTGTTTCATCAGCTTGGTCATAGCCTGGATTTCTTTCTCCTTCTGTTTTAACTCAGCTTTCTCCTTTCTGTTTTCAAGCTTTTTACGTTTTGTCATTTCCCTTAATTTCTTCGCAGCTAAATAAAAATGCTACACTTACTGGTGGTCCTTCTACTTCATCAGACACTCTTCCACCACAAATCAAAAAGCTGAATTGCCACAGAATCACCAGTGCACAACAAGTTTCTACGCTGTTCCTTGAAAGCAAGAAGCAACTCTGGTGACAGTCGGCGGTTCAACTCGCGAAGAAATGTGCAGCTAGGCAAACTGGTTAGGCTTCTAGGTTGTGTGCAGGAATAGGAATGTTGTGCCTTTTTTATATTGAAACATCATACGGGTTCGGCAAAGAAGCGTAGTCTATTGCATTTGCTTTCCAAGGGACTAGTTCACACTTCCTGAAACCATTCTTAAGGGTGACATCCTTATTCTCTATTGCGTTGCTTGCCTGCTCTAGCAAAGGTGCAAAGTCCGGTCGCGTAATCATCGTGTCTCCATTATCGAACCGCCATTTGATAAGCACAGTGTCCCACGAACTTTTGATTGGCTTCAAGAAGGATACATCCAGAGGCTGGATGAAGTGGGTTGCGTTTGGTGGAAGGGAAGTCAAGATAATTTTTTTCTCTTTGCAAAACTGAACCGTTTCATAGGTGGTGTGGGACCGGTGACCGTCAACGAAGACGGTGACTGGGAAAGCAATATTGTTTTTTACTAGCCACGGATAAAACACGTTAGACATATATTCGAAGAACGTTCATCCAAGAGTTCATCCAGCCTTTCTCTGTTCGACCGACACCCCATTTTTTGGGACACTTTTGACGATCTCTCGGGGTAAACGTTCTCTATACGGAAAAAGTATAAGCGGGGGAACCATAGAACCATTTGCCAAGCCAGCCATCATAACTGTGTAAGATTTTCGATTAGAATTGCCTTGAATCGCTTGTACATTTTTTAATGTCTTCGCAGCAAACACTCTTTTTTCTTGGGATTTGGAGCCATCTCGAACGCGCTTTCGTCCATGTTAAAGACACGATTTGGGACGCTTAGAACTTCCAAGAGATCTTGGGATGCAAGATACGATTCAACTTCTGCGAACCAAGATCGCACTTCATTCTCAGATATAACTCTTCTTCGAAATATGGTTAGCAGTTCGTTTTGAAATAGCAGGATGCCTTTTCAAAAACTTTGCCACCCAGCCTCTGAAAAATATCTTTCTTGCCCATCCGTTTTGCATACTAGCCAACACTGATTCTCAGGATTTCTTCACACGGGAAGTCCAGCAACAGCCATTTCTTCAATCCAATCTGCAATTTGTTCTTCCTCCGTTTCCGTCAGAACGGTAGGCTTTTCGGATGGGTCTCCCTTAGGCTATCGAAAAGAGTGCTCCGGGTCATGCCATATTGAGCGGCAGCAGTGCTCCATCCACTTTGTCCTTGCTGAATTTACGGTCTGCATCCATAGTAATCATCTGTAAATTAACTTTGTTGTTTTATAAAACTTCCGTGTCCGAAATATGAATCACAGGGAAGAAATGTCATTCATATTTCGGACACTTTATAATGTATTTTTTTTAAAAAGAAAAACCATGTTATACACCGACAGAAAATTGTTTGCATTGAACCAAAAAAAACTTTAGTTGTGTGTGTGTGTGTGTGTGTGTGTGTGTGTGTGTGTGTGTGTGTGTGTGTGTTTTTTTTTTTTTTTTTTTTTTTTTTTTTTATAGTAAGGTTTAGGAAAGCTTCAAGAAGCCTGGCCTGTAGTGAAGGTGGCACGGTGTGGTATCCACTAGTTGCCTAGTGCAGCTCCACTAAAACCCATTCCTTACTCTCTCCTCTGCCTGGATCCCCCCGGGACCACTGTGAAGCGACTACTTCGGGGGGTGGCTGTGCTCATGCACTTGTCGTACTCTCAGCGCTAGCTGGCGTTGCTAGATCGCTGCTCTTCTCTCCATTTACGCTGCAGCTCTGACATAATCTGTGTGACTGCCCTGCTGACGGCATTCCAAGAGTCCTCCTCTCGACACATTTCATCAACGACATTCTCCACGTTAAGGATGGGCATCTCCGTTCGCACTGCCTCGAACCTTGGACAGTCAAAGACCACATGCTCCGGCGTTTCATCGACGTTGCCACACTCCGGACAGAGGGGTGACGCTGCGTGTCCGAACCGATGCAGGTATTTCCTGAAGCAGCCGTGGCCAGACAGGAACTGCGTTAGGTGGAAATTGACTTCTCCGTGTTTTCTGTTCACCCAGGTCGAAAGAATCGGTATTAGTCTATGTGTCCATCTACCGTTCTCCGTCGTGTTCCACTCCTGTTGCCACTTAGCCAATGACTCCACTCTCACAACTTTCCGTACTCTTCCGGCTTCTCTCTGCCTGTAGCACTCACTGTCCTCCGCCAGGGTGATGCCGATAGGGATCATACCGGCGATAACGCATAACATTTTTGTCCGGGTGAAATCGAGGGAATGGTTAGTAGTTATTTTTGCATTCATGGCCCTGGGAATGGACACAGCAAATAAATGCTAAATTAAAATGAACTATTGTTGGCTTAATAATAGAATATTGTTATTTTTACAATAGTTGCAGTTGAAAAGTGGCTTATTAAAACAAAAAGAATCCTATTTTGAATTTATATGAATGAGTATTATTGAAACAACAAAATGCAAAATAATTTCAACCTGAATTGTTTGTTTAAATACAACTAATGTTTTGTTTGGTTCAATGCAAACAATTTTCTGTCCGTGTACTACGTGCACCGCTAAGCAAACGTCAAATGCAAGAGAAAGTAGGAAGTGTGTTTATGTTTTCGCCTATTATGTTACCATTCGGGGGCGTCACATATAAAAAGGTTGTAAAACCGAGGAGCGATTCTAATGCAACATGCGTGGTATATTTATAAGGTGTATATCATCCAAGTATATAAGTATTTCAAGATATAATTATCAAGTGTCCGAAATATGAATCAGAACGGTACACACGGTGTCTCTGAAAGAAAGCTTTATTTAAAAATAAATCTGTATCACTGTAACGAAAGCTTATGTTTTAAACACTGGTCAAACCGAGATGTTATGGCAATTTTCATGTCGATAGTTATTATAACATGTAATAACTCTGTAGGCTGACGTATTATTATGCCTGCTCAGTCTGGCCAGCGTTTTATATTCTTGGGCCCTTCTTGGCTTGTCGGGAATAAGATTTGAACTCGTGACTTTAGCGTGAGAGGTACGGATGTTAACCACTACGCCGGCGCCTTCCCAGATATATTCTAGAGAACTCGCGTGCATATTGCAGGCGTATTTAAATTAATTGAATTTTCAGGCTCATGTGCGATACCTGTAGATTTTCATGTGGATCTCGGAAACTATATGCATACCAATAGTAATATCAGTAAATGTTATTTCTACAAATATTAGTCAATGAATTGCGTACGGTATTACCGTTCTAGGTCCTAAGT